TCTGCTGATTATACTTTCCATTCACCTGGCACACTATGGGGGTAATAAATGCTCTGAATCAATCTCTTCAATGCCCCAAGAAAGCTGTGTGCTTATTCCTGAACCAATCCCTACTGAACACGAGCTATGTTCTAGACACGGAGGCTAATGCTGAAGACACAAATGGGAGGCAGGAGCAGGGAGACCCAAGTCTGCACACAGCCTGAGTGACTCTCTGACTTAGTGAGACCCTGACTTAAAGTAAAAAATAAAGGCAGGGCCAAGGATGTAACTCAGTGTGGGGCTGTGGGTTCAATCCCCAGCACTGTGGAATAAAGGAAGGAAGGAAGGAAGGAAGGAAGGAAGGAGTGAAGGTCCTATGTGGCAGCCCAAGTCCAGAGGCCTCCTGTGCACAGCGTGGAGTGTGACTCAGATCTACAGCTGCAGGGAGCCAGTGAGGGTGTGGAACAGCACGGGCTGAGGCTGTGGGGCCTCCAGCTGCTCAGTGACATCTGGAGAAGAGAGAGCAGAGGTGGGGACAGCAGGTGGGGGCTGTGGCAGTAGCAGAATAAAGAGGATGAGATTGCTTCCTGCTTGGGTCACATTTAGTCAGTATCCCATACCCTCAAGTTTTGAATTTGTCCCTCATCAGCCACCATCACAGGTTATAGCAGATATGCTCAAAATATTTGGAGAATGTTTACATTTAAAAATTATTACAGGCTGGGGAGATAGCTCAGTGGCTTAAGTGCCTGCCTGGCAAGCACAAGGTCCTGAGTTCAATCCCCTGTACCCTCCCTGCCCCCCAAAATATTATAAGGCCAGGGAGACAGCTCAGTGGTCTAAGCGTCTGTGAAGTGCAAGGACTAGGTTCTATCCCTGGTACCACATGCTGTGCCAAAACAGCAGGCATAGTGGTGCAGACCTGTAATCTCAGCGCTGGGGAGGCTAAGACCGGAGGATTACTATGAGTCCAAGCTGTGTAGCAAGACCCTGTATCAAATAAATAAATACATTTTAAGAAATTACAATAAAAGACATTGCCACTAATGTCCTTTACAGTGCCCCTCCCTTGCTTAACACACACCTATCCCATCGTTCCAGCCACTTGCTGAAGCAGTTCTGGAAGTCCTCTGTGAGAAGCTCGTGAGTCGTGATGATAGGCACTGGACAGTGACAGCCACTGCTGAGTTCTGCCTGTGGGGAAGGCAGCTCCTGAGAACACCACAGCGCATCCTCACCCGCCTTCTTCACCACACCTGGCCCCACGCTACTTCTGGCTCTTTCCCAAAGTGAAAATGACCAAGAAAGGCCAATGTTTTGACTCAGCTCGAGATCCCAAGGCAACCACAACACAGCTAAAGACACTCACGAAAGAGGATTCCCAGGGCTGCCCCAGAAGGTGGCAAGAGCGATGGGGTAAGTGCTCCTGAAGCAAGGGGGAGGACTGTAAAGAAGACTAGTGGCAATGTGTCTTTTACTGTAATACATTTTAAAATTAAAAAAAAATAAATTTATTGAAATCTTATGCCACGATGTGCATTCATCCCAGCAGGCCAGCTTTGATGGAAAGGTCGGGTCCCTCTCTTCTTGGCTGCTTCCCTGGGAACATGAGCACTCCTCCAAGGCCAGTGTGGAAGCTGAGGGGGGCTGTCTCAGCACAGCTCAGGACTCAGACGCCCTGCAGGCAGAGCGCGAGCATTTCCCCCACAGGCAGCTGTGGGACCTGTCTCCCACGCCCAAATTGCGATCAAGGGGGACTGGGGCAATGTCACGCAGAGACCCTGTCTCATTCATTCCTGATCACCTTGCTAGGATGAGTAGTTCAGTAAACGAGTCTCTGATTCATCTAGCAGGTGGCTTCTTTTGAGGGTCTTAATTGTTCCTCAAGGTGTGCAACAGTTGATTTGCGAAACATGAACAGCTAGCCTTCCTTTCTCTGGCTGAGACCTCGCTCCCTGTGGCTACACCCAGTGAGAGACCGGGAACCTTCTGGAAGCCACCGCATGGCAGGTAGAGTGCCGGCAGCCCATGTGATGTTCTGCAAGGACCACAGGCCACGCAGAGCGATTTTCAGAGAAGCCCTTTCATGTCCCTCCTCGCAGCCCCACCCAGTCTCCTCTCACTCTGTGCATCTGCATCAAATGGGCAGAATGCAGGTCTTCCTGGCCCCAAGTCTGCTGGTCCAGGGTCACCCAACTCCCTCCCACTCTTACACGGATCCCCAGGTACAAGGACCCTGTTTTGGGAGGGGGGATCTTTTGAAGGAGTTCTTGCTGAAAGCATCTCGCACAGACAACTAATGAACTTTATCAATGGCAGCTGACAAGCAGAGACCCAGAACTGGGGCACCATAAGGCATAGGACATTATCTTAATTTCCTTGTTAGTACCACTCCATAGTTTCCATCCTATGGTGCTGAAGTCATGATGAACTAAGTCTGAATAATTTGTTTTCCATAATAAATGGAACATCTCCTTGAAGACTCGTAGTCATTAACATTTCAATTTATTCGTGCTTCCTCTTCCTAATGGTAACATTGCCTAATTATATGTGTCCCATGGCCATCACATTGGCTGGCGGTAAGTGCCTCTCCCCTGCCTCTGTTGGGTTGGGGGCCTGGGGAGGTCACCTACTCTTCTAAAATATTCTACTTATTTTTGCTCACCGCTTGTTAAGTGGGGAAACAATGCCGGCAATTAAGCAATGAGAAACTGGGTGAGAATCTAAGCTACCATGCCTCATGCTTGCCAGTTCTGGCTCCACTCCAAGCCTGCCACATGGATGAACTTAGCCACCCACAACTCCCTGACGCTGTTAGCATCATCACATCCACATTTATAGATGAGGATGCTAGACACACACACGGAGCTTGAACCCTGAGGTCTGGCTCTGCACAGACCCTATGTGGGTTACACTTGTGTCCGTCCCTATGTTTCCTTCTCTGTGACCTGGCTCTTGCAGCCAACCCATGCTGCTGCTGTGTTGGACCTCTGGGTTAGAAAGGGTGGAGGAGAGCGGTACGCGGTACAGCAGTGCTGTGGAGGGGATCCACCAAAGCCATGCTGACATGGCATCCTGATTATAAGAGGGAGGGCAGGGCATGAAGGCCCTGCCCTTGGATTAAGGGAGGAGTGGGTATCTCAAGGTGGTCTGTTGTAGAACCAGCTGGCTCTATGCCTCGTATGTGCCCCTCTCACCACAGGGAGCCCTCTGCTACCTCAGGACTCTCTACAGTTCCCAGCTGCACAAAGGTGCTCACCAGATGCAGCCCCTTGGCCTTTGGCCTCCCAGCCCCTTAATCCTATCCTGAGTTTAGTAGCCCCTCACTATTTTATGGTTCTACTTTCATGGACTCACTGTTTTACAGCACAGAATATTAATCTAAATTATTTATCACAGATTTTTCACTATATTGCGGGATTCTGTAGTACCGCACATTGTTTAGAAAATGGTTAAGAACAATTAGAAGTGTTTTTAAGGGGCCAGTGAGATAGCTCAGCGGTCTAACATGACTGCTTAGGCAAATTTAGGCAAGCACACAGGGACCTTGGTTCAATCCCTGGCACCTGCCCCCAGTGCAGGCTGAGCCGGCCACATACAAAAAAAGTGTTTTTAAAAGGTGGGAAAGGTTTATACGAGTGTGGGAAGGGTTTATAAAGCCTCTCTCTCTCTCTCTCTCTCTCTCTCTCTCTCTCTCTCTCTCCCTCCCTCCCTCCATCCCTCTCTCTCTTCTCTCTCTCTCTGTTTCTGTCTCTGTCTCTGTCTCTCTCTCTGTCTCTGTCTCTCTGTCTCTGTCTCTCTCTC